CCCAGTGGAGAAAGTAACACCACGCCTTGCCCTCTTTACTGCCTTTACAACCTCTTTCCAGGGGTCCTTTCTAGAAATGGAGTGAGAGACATAACAGAGGCAGCCTCCCGCTCTTTACTGAGAGAAAGAGAGAGAGTGTGTGTGTAAGGAGAGAGAACTGGGCTGAAAAATGAACGTGTCCCTTTTCCAGTTTCCCTCCCAGCCCTGCTCATCTGTGCAGGTGGGCCCAGGGCTTGTCATTAAGTCTCTATCTCTCTCTCTTTTTTTTTTTTTTTTTTTTTTTTTTGCCTTTTTTTCCCCCATAAACTCATTGCTCAGTATCACAGAAAGTCTCTCTGACACCCCTGCAGCTTCCATGCCCGGGGCACCCTGCCTGTCTCCTCTTTCCCGCTCAGCCTCAGCTGCATACAGAGGTCCGGCACCCTTGAAGCTGCCCCTCCCACCCTGCACCAGCCCTCAAAACTAGCCCTTCACAAAATAATCCCTAAGCCCCATTTCAATCTTGGCACTGAGCTCCTAGATAACAGGAGGAGACAGAGGGAAAAAAGACAGGAGAAATGCAGAGAACAGAACTGAGTTTAGGCTGGGTGCGGTGGCTCATGCCTGAAATCCCAACACTTTGGGAGGCCAAGGCAGGCAGATTATCTGGGCTCAGGAGTTTGAGACCAGCCTGGGCAACATGGCCAAACTCCATCTCTACCAAAAATTGGCTGGGCGTGGTGGTGTGTGCTTGTAGTCCTAGCTACTCAGGAGGCTGAGGTGGGAGGATCACTTGAGCTTGGGAGGTGAAGGTTGCCATGAGCCAAGATCGAGCCAGTGCACTCCAGCCTGGATGACAGAACAAGACTCCATCTCAAAAAAAAAAAAAAAAAAAAAAAGAACAGGGTCTAGGCCAGGAGCAGTGGCTCATGCCTGTAATTCCAGCACTTTAGGAAGCCAGGATCAGTGGAGTCCAGGAGTTCAAGACTAGCCTGGACAACATAGTAACAACCAATCTCTACAAAAAATACAAAAATTAGTTACTGGGCGGTAGCACATGCCTGTAGTCCCAGCTGTGTGGGAGGTTGAGGTGGGAGGACTGCTTGACCTCAGGAGGTCGAGGCTGTATTGTGCTGTGTTCACGCCATAGCACTCAGCCTGGGTGACAGAGTGAGACCTTGTCTCAAAAAGAAAAAGAAAAGAAAGGCTGGGTGCAGTGATTCATGCCTGTAGACCTAACACTTTAGGAGGCTGAGGCAGATCACTTGAGGCCAGGAGTTTGAGACCAGCCTGACCAACATAGTGAAACACCATCTCTACTAAAAATACAAAAAAATTAGCTGGGCATGGTGGTGCACACCTGTAATCCCAGCTACTCAGAAGACTGAGGCATGAGAATTGCTCAAACTCAAAAGGTGGAGGTTGCAGTGAGCCAAGAGCGAGCCTGGGCGATCTCCAGCCTGGGCAACAGAGCGAGACCATGTCTCCAAAAAAAAAATAAAAATAAAAAAAAAAACCAGCAAAGAATTGAGTCTAGAAGGATGAAGTTTAGGGAGTAGGGAGTCAGTCTGTCTGTCCAGCTGTTCTTTTTAATTTTTTCTAAACGGGGTCTCACTACATTGGCCAGGTTGATCTTAAACTCTTGGCCTCAAGCAATCCTGCCGCCTCGACCTCCCAAAGACGAGGATTACAGGCATGAGGCATGGTGCCCAGCCAGTCCAGTTGTTCTTATTTATGTTCATCTATTCACCTAGCCACTGCCCACTTGCCTGTCTCTCTGCCCACTTCTCTTGCTATCTTTTGTTTTTCTTCTTATTTTTTATTTTTTGAGATGGAGTCTTGTTCTGTACCCCAGGCTGCAGTGCAGTGGTACAATCTCAGCTCACAGCAACCTCCACCTTCTGGGTTCAAGCAATTCTCCTGTCTCAGCCTCCCGAGTTCTGGCGCCAACCACCACACCCAGCTAATTTTGTATTTTTAGTAGAGATGGGGTTTCACCATGTTGGCCAGGCTGGCCTCGAACTCCTGAGCCCAAGTAATCTGGCTGTCTCTGCCTCCCAAAGTGCTGGCATTACAGGCGTGAGCCATCACCCCCCACCCCCCTCAGTCCTCTCACTGTCTTTCTTTTTCTTTGATCTATTGTATCTAGCATTCATTCATTTGTGCTTCATTTACAGGTCAAGTCCCAAATAGACCTGCAAAACAATGTACATGTAAGTAAAAGTTCCCAACCTCCACCTTTGGAAACTTTTACTTTCTTTTTTTTTTTTTTTTTTTTTTTTTTTTTTTTTTTT